ATGGTAAGAAAGGGAGGGAGGGAGGAAGGAAGGAAGGAAGGAAGGAAGGAAGGAAGGAAGGAAGGAAGGAAGGAAGGAAGGAAGGAAGGAAGGAAGGAGAGAGAGAGAGAGAAAAAGAAAGAATTCCTTTCCTCTTCAAAAACATTACAAGAGGGGCTGGGAAGGTGGCTCAGTGGTAGAGTGCTTGCCTTGCATGCATGAGGCCCTGGGTTCGGATTCCTCAGCACCACATAAGCAAAAAGAAAAAAGCCGGAAGTGGCGTTGTGGCTAAAATGGTAGAGTGCTAGCCTTGAGCTGAAGAGGTGAGGGACAGCACCCAGGCCCAGAGTTCAGGCCCCACGACCGGATCCCCCCCCCAAAAAAAATAATAACATTACAAGAAAGAATTCCTTTCCTCTTCAAAATCATTACTACAAATTTGCACTTATAAATGTCTTATTTATTTTGAGATTGTGCAAGTTCTTCCAAATTATCTGTGGCTTACTTCCCACCCACCTTTCTGTATGAAGTTGAGAGTAATGTCAGTAGTAAGTTCATCAATGGGACAGAGTCGATCAGCCGTTGAATCCTCTGTATGGAGGTGCTCTGGGCCATAATGCTCAGGACCGCAGGGGGACCATCAGTCTCCCAACCCTGAAAGTAACAATAACATAAGAGAATTAACGATATGACTCAGCCAGAAACAACCCTCCGTGCTGCTGGGTCAAGCTAGTCCCCAGAAGTGTACCCGATTCCCCACAAGAACAACCTCCTCACCTTGTGTAGAGCCTCCACCTGCAGGTCTTGAAACAAAGATGTCAATAGCTTGATGGCATGGTTTGCTAATATGACTGAGAGCACTCCAAAGCCCTGATGCCTACACAAAGAAAATAATTAGAATGAATAATAACCTCAGAAACACTGTTTTCTTGCCATTCTGGGGATTTAGTCCTTGGAAGACTTACGGACCTTTCTCCAGAAGGAAAATAACTATATATAACACAAAATTGCCAGAAGAATCTACAGGCTTCAGGGCAAGAACTTCTGTATCAAAAGGGACTATTCTACAGCAACACAGAGCTGCTGAAGGTGCTAAGACTTAAGTGGCAACTGAACTTCTGAAAAACATTCTTTTAAGAAAGATTAAAATTACCAACCCATATAAAATAACTGAAAATAAGCAAGATCTTTGTAGTATGCAAATTGCATTTGAATAAAATTTTTTGTAAAAAATGTACATAAAAGGTGGTTTTGTTTTTGTTTTTGTAGGTCATGGAGCTTGAACTTTGAACTCTAAGCTTGGGTGTTGTCCCTGCACTCTTCATTCAGCTCAAAACTAGAGCCCTATCACTTGAGCCACAGTGCCACTTCTGGTTTTCTGGTGTTTATTCGGAGATAAAAGTCCCACAGACTCCTAGACTGGCTTTGAAACATGATCCTCTGATCTCAGCCTCCTTAGTAGCTAGGATTACAGCCATGAGTCACCAGCACCCTACAAGATAAAAGGTTAATACATCTAATATACAGCAGGCATGTAAATCAATACAAAAAGGAGATAAGAAACAGAAAAAAATTGAGGCAAAGAATTTAAGGTAGTAGTATAAAGGAAGAAACAAAGGAACAGAGACTCAGGCCAGAAATCCTAGTTACTCAGGAAGTGGGGAATAGAGGATCACAGCTTGTGGTTGGCAGGCAAAATAATTTATTATAAGACCTCAATAAAAGATGGGCATGGTGGTGGTGTGTGTGCCTGTCATCCCAGCTATGCAGGAAGCCACAGTAGGCAGATAGTAGTCAAGCCAACCTGGAACTAAACTCAAGATCTTATTTGAGAAGTAAAAAAAGCAAAAAGGGCCAGGCGCTGGTGGCTCACGCCTGTAATCCTAGCTACTCAGGAGGCTGAGATCTGAGGATCATGTTTTAAACCAGCTTGGGCAGAAACGTATCTCCAATTAACCACTCAAAAAGCAGAAGTGGCACTGTGGCTCAAATGGTAGGACGCTAGCCATGAGCACAAAGAGACTCAAGGACAGCGCCCAGTTCTTGAGTTCAAGGTCCCCCCACCCTCCCCGCCACACACATATGAAAATAGGAAATGAGCAAAGTGAAATTTAGGATTCTGGATATCCAGTAGTTCAGTAGGGGGAGAGCCATAGATGAGAATTTCAATATGGTTAATAGTAAGTGGAGGAAAAAAATGCCTAGAAAGATCTGTTTGTTATGAAACTATATTTTTTTAAGGAATATTGATATATATGGAAACAGAAAATTAGAAATTTCAAGTTTAGAATTCCAGGCATTACCTAGTTCAGTGGGTACAGAGGGCCATGAGACTAGAAGCTCATGGTCAAGGTGCTAGCCTTTGTTTTGGTGATAAGCTAGTAGCGAGACTAGATATGGGAGCTTGCATCAACTGCAATTGGACTGATTCTTTAAAATGCATCTTAGTTTGTTTTCCATTTCTGTTGATGAAAAATTTCTCTATGTTTGTGGGCATTTTAATGTAAGTGTGTTTTTATAAATTGCTTTTTTATCCACTGTGTCCACTTTTTTACTAGCATATTTTAGCCTTGTGGGGTTTTTGTTTTGAACTGTTTTCCTTTTCTTTAAGCTTATTGAGTTGAGGGCAAAGGACATTTCCGTTTTGATGAAACAATCCTTAATTAAGGCACAGGGACACAGTACACAATTTCTTTATGCTATTTCCTGTGAGGTGATTGAGGACAAGTGCAGTCCATGAGCCTGAAGAGCTCCTGGCCTTGGGGGCACAATGCACACAAACCTGGAGATTTGGGGACTGGAGGTCAGAGGTCACCAGAGAGTGGTTGAAGTGATAGAGAGCAGCAGCAAACTCTTCATCTGATGAACCTTAAGACAGATGGGAAACCAGTTATTCCAGCATCAATGGGATGGAGACATCATACCCTGCCAACAGCCAAACTCTACAGGGAAACTCAAGCAAGCCCATCTACTAACCCTTGAGTCCATCTTTGTCCACCTCCTTGATGATACTGGCCAGGGTGGCCATATGGTGTTCGGAAAGAGACACGCTCAGATAGTTTCGGATGAAATTGTTCCGAGAGTTTAGCATGGAAGAGGTAATGAAGTTCAAAATGTTGGAAGCCAGACCTAGAAACTAAAAAGCATACAAAATAGCTCCTATCAGAGTTGCAGATCCAAACACTTACAAAGTCTAAGACAAACAAAATAAGCCATTAGTTTCATGCAAAAAAAAAAAAAAAAAGAATTAGAGAATCACATTTAAAACTTGCTAAAGTAGTACTAAGATCATGAGAATCTACGAGCTACACAAAATTGTACACCAAACAAACAGAATAGACTTCAGAAAATACTGTGCTTCAGAAGTCACCAAATTTCCAAGTAACTGACCGATTTTTTTTCTTCCCCTAGGGACTTTTGGCCTTTGTTCCGGACACCTATATTAATGACTATTGCACACATATAGGATTCCTAGCTCTTTAACTCTCTATTGTAGAAGCATATTGTTTTATTGTATAAATGCTTTATATCCATAAACTTTTCATTTTTGATGTATGCTAGCACCAAGACTTGAACTCAGAGCCTTTAGCTCTTGTATGGCTTTTTCACTCAAGACTGGTAGTTTACCATGCACGCCACAGATCCACTTCTGGCTTTGTGCTATTTAAGTGAAGGTAAGAGCCTCATGGACTTTTCTGCCCAGACTGGCACTGAATCACAATCCTCATATCTTAGCTTTCCTGAGTAGCTAGGATTACAGGCATGAGCTACCATAGGCCTAACTAGGCCTAACTAGGCCGAACTAAGCTATATAAACTTGTACCCAACTCATTTACTGACTAGTTATCAAAACAAAGCCTGAATTATCAGTAAATGTCCAAACCAAATTAGTAAGCATCTATGATGTATCGAGCCTATACTAAAGAGTTGAAAAATATTCTTTTTCACCTGCCCTCAGAAGCAAGTACAATAACTTTGACACAAGGAGACAAAACTAAGGCTTGGAGAAGCTCAGATAATAGCCCAAAGCCACTAAGTAGTCAAACCACTTAAATCCAGTTCTAAAGCGTATGGTGATAACCATCATTCAAAGAAACAAGTATAAAAACTATTTGATTAAACAGTGATAAGCCTAAACAAAATGTATTTATACATTAGAGCTATCCAAACTAAAAAAAAACTTCCAGTTCAAGTAATCTTCTCCCATCACAACTCAATTCCTCTCCCACTATATCTCAGAAACCCACTCTTACCAACTCAGGATCTTTTCGACTAGCCAAAATGTTGCCCTTGTCACCAGGGGCCTGCTTACTGGGGCTTTTAACCCGAGGAGAGCTCTCCAGCGGAGGGGGCGGAGGTGGAGGTGGAGGCGCCACTTTCTCTTTACTGGGAGAGATGGTTTCCTCGAACCACTGCCCCAAAATAGGCTCACTGTCATCATCTAAACAGAAAGAGAAGTCACAAAGTTAGTAAAAGAAAAAACAAACTTCTTCTGATGTACTGGCTTTCTAAAAGTGCCTACCTAGGCTGGGAACGTGGATTAGTGGTAGAGTGCTTGCCTAGCATGTGAAACCCTGGGTTCAATTCCTCAATACCATATAAATACAAAATCCAAAAGTAGGGCTATGGCTCAAGTGGTGAATGCAAGTATTGACCAAAAGAAGCTTAGGGAACCAGGTGCCAGTGGCTCATGTCTGTCATCCTAGCTACTCAGAAGGCAAGATCTGAGGATCGTGGTTGAAAGCCTGCTCAAGCAGACTCTCCAATTAACCACCAGAAAACCGGAAGTGGCACTGTGGCTCAAGTGGTAGAGTGCTAGCCTTGAGCTGAAGAGCTGAGGGACAGCGCCCAGGCTCAAGCCCCGCGACCAACAAAAAAAAAAAAAAAGAGCCCCAGGACTGGCAAAAAAATAAAAAATAACTATATAAATAAAAGTGCCTACCTAACTCAAAATGAACACAAGGATATCCAAATGATGGATGCAAGCCTGCATCAATGGGCCAATATTTATCGAAATGTATACAGAAAATGAGAATATTTCATTATACATGGTTATAGTCAATAAAAATTATTTGATAAAATGAGAGAGAAGAGAGACAATTTCACTTTATTTTACTGACTACAAGCAACTTCCAGAACAAATCTGTCACCCCCAAAATGATGAGAGTCACAATTCTCTTGGTATTTCATACACTTGGCTATGAACAGGGATCTGAGAGATGTTTATCTTCTTTACTCTTCCAAACTAGGGCAGGAGAAAGTGTTAATCAGGACAGCAGCTTTCATTTCCCCTCCAACACACGCCTAAGCTTCGAAGCTACCATAACAGCTACACCAAACAATTTCCACAAGACCTTCTAAATTGCATTAGGAAAGCTGAGAGCAGAGGTTCCAACATAGGGCAACACATGTAAACTGAGGTATACTTCCATCTAGTTGAAAGTAATGAAAAGCAACATGGGCTTGGCTAAATGTAATATCATCATTCAGTCTTTTATGCTCAATTTGTTTTTAAATAATATATCTTCTTTAAGTGTACATAATGTAGAGGTGTAGGTGAAACAAAATGGTACTAAAGAAGCTGTCGCAGGCTGAGAAGGTGGCTCAGTGGTAGAGTGCTTGCCTTACATTCATGAGGCCCTGGGTTCGATTCCTCAGCACCCTATAAGCAGAAAAAGCCAGAAGTGGTGCTGTGGTGGTAGAGCGCTAGCCTTGAGCTGAAGAGCTGAGGGACAGCACCCAGGCCCCAGAGTTCAGGCCCCATGACCGACAAAAAAAAAAAAAGAAGAAGCATCTGTGGCACTCTGACTCTGGCCCACCTTGACTGCTGTCCTCCTCGGTACTGCTGAAGTCGTCCTCATAGTAGGTGTTAGAGTCGGTGGAGGCACTGGCATCACTGCTCATGGAGCCCTTCCTCTGCCGCTGTAGGACACATGCCTAGGAAACAAGGTTACCATAACTGGCAATAACAAAACAAGAGCCAACCTGCTTAATTAACCTCATAGCCACACAATAAGGCTTCTCCCTAGCTCATTCATTTACCTAGGCAAGCTTTCTACCACTTGAGGCCTAACCCTAGCCCTATTCTTTGTTCTAAATCTGAGAGCTACTTCTAATAAAAACCTCTTTCCTCAGGAGTCTCACAGCTTTACCTTACAAAAGCACTCCAACTAGTCACATGGCCAAGATTTGGAGGAAGAAAAAAAAGAGCATTTCCACAGCTTCTATGCTTTTGCTTCAGAATGTTATGCTAATCAGCTCAAAACACCAAGTAACACTGATAACCAATAACTTACTCAAAAGTTTTTATAAGTCCTACCAAATTAAGAATTCCTCTCACTAGGTGCTGGGCCTACCTGTTTAGAAGGCTGCAATCAAAGACAGCCTTAGCAAGAAAGCCCATGAGAATTTTTTTTGGTGAGTCATGGAGCTTGAACTCAGGGCCTGAGCCCAGTCCCTGAGCTCTTTTGTTCAAGATTAACACTCGACCACTTTAAGCCACAACTCCACTTCCCATTTTCTGGTGGTTCATTGGAGATAAGAGTCTCAATGACATTCCTGCCCAGACTAGATTTGAACTGTAATCCTCAGATCTCAGCCTCCTAAGTAGCTAGGATTACAGATGTGAGCCCCACCACTGGCACCAGGAGACTCACCTCCAACTAACCACCAAAAAGTAGAAAATGGAACTGTGGCACAAGTGGTAGAGTGCCAACCTTGAGTAAAAGCTCAGGGACAACACCCAGTCCCTGAGTTCAAGCCCTAGGACTAGCACAAAAAAAAAAAAAAAAAAAAACAAGGTAGCTACACAGGACGCTGAAATCTGAGGATCATGGTTCAAAACCAGCCTGAGCAGGAAAGTCCGTGAAACTCATCTCCAATAAACTACCAAAAAAACTGGAAGTAGAAAGTGGCACTGTGGCTCAAGAGGTAGAGTGCTTGCCTTGGGCAGAAGAGCGCAGGGATACTGCCCAAGCCCAGAGTTCAAGCCCCATGACCAACCAAAAAAAAAACCTGGAAGTAGCACTGTGGCTCAAGTGGTAAAACCTTGAGCTGAAGAGCTAGCTGAGAGACAAAGTTCAAGCCCCACGGCTCGTGTCTGTAATGCTGGCTACTTACGGGTGAGATCTTGAGGTTCACAGTTCAAAACCAGCCCAGACAAAGTCAAGGCATTCTATCCAAAATAAGCAGGAAAAAGCAGGACTGGAGGCATGGCTCAAGTGGCAGTCCAAATAAGCAAACAAAACAAGTTCAAATTCCAGAACTACCAAAAGAAAATAAAAAAATCCTTAACAAGCAAATGACCAAGCTCAGGGGGCTAAGGGAGAAGTATTACTTAAGCCTAGGAATTGGGGCCAACAGATGAAAAACAATGTAGTGAGACCTCATCTTGATAGATGGAAGACTGTTGTAGGGAATGACTGATTGATCAGATACGTAGATGGTAAGAAAGGGAGGGAGGGAGGAAGGAAGGAAGGAAGGAAGGAAGGAAGGAAGGAAGGAAGGAAGGAAGGAAGGAAGGAAGGAAGGAAGGA